GTTCACTGTCAGATGATATAAGAAACTAAATAACATTGGTCACAGTTCAGTTTTGGTCAGTGTAATGCCTGAAAATTTAGTGTTGTAGTTAAATTTAGTTGTTTACTGGATGTAATTTGCCAAGAAAAAAAAACACGCAATACACACCTTCCTCCAGACGGCCTGTGTCCAGTGAAAGACACATCCCGGAATTTTTACAGTGGGGAGCACTTCTCTGATGGCCGACCAAATTTCCTTCTCAAAGTCGACGGTGACCTGCCTGACTGAGAGCTGGGGCATTAGGTGGACTAGATTCTGGAGCACCTGGAAGTAAAAGAACAACCCAGTAAGTCATTTTTCTTACAATCATTCTGAAATTCAGAAGAAATTCAATGTGTGTAGAAAGCGTAAAAAGAAAATGTTATTGTGTTCTTTTCCAATATGAATTTTCAAAGTGCTTAATTATCTTCTCTTATATACTTCAGATTTAATATATCAGAATAGAGAAAACAAGATCAAGGCGAAAAAGCGGCAGAAAGCGGCCACCCGAAAAAGAAAATGGGGACTGATCCTTCTCTTTGGCAATGAATGTTAACATACCTTTTTATAGTCCTTTGCCTTCTTGCTGGACATCAGTAAATAAGCCAGTGGTACTTGCTTGGCGTACTCCCCTGATCGGACAAACGCGTTTACCGTCAACAGCTGCTTGAACGGGTGGCGAACAAGCTTAAAGGTTCCGTCAACGTACCATGTCTTAGTACGGGCGAGAATGGTGAGTTGCTCCTGTCTTGCAAATAGTAGGTGGCGCCTATCCTTTACTTCGATGTCAGCACGGAGGAAGCCGTCAGGGATACAGTCATCAACCAACTCGAAGTCAAGATCTCTTGGGTGTTCTGGACGTAGTTTCTGGCGTAGACGGTTGGCTGCTCGCGCGATGTACTCAGGTTTGGGTAGGGCTGCGCACGGGGCTTCAGCGAGCTCTTCCAGCAGGACCTATCAATAACAATAACATTAACACTTAGTTGACTACACTCTTTTTTTTCTTTCAAGAACGTCGAATTTTTGGGGTTGATGCTGCTGAACTGCTCATTATTACAAACTGAATGTTCTTAATAAATGTTCTTAATACGTTCTTAAAAGTTTGGACAATCTCAGCCTCAACGTTCTTACAAAAAAGAGTGTATTTCATTATGAGTTAACTTAAAAACTCTGGCTATTTATTTAAATACTGGAAGTATAATTTAGGATTGATTTAATCTTAGATTGTCTTTTTGCCTTCAACTTCGTGATCAATCACGCAGAAACCCAAGAAAAAATTCGACAACATCCAGTTATATGAAAATAGACTTAACTTGAAACGCCAGCAATACAATCATTAACATACCTCATTGACTATTGCTGAAGCCGGCCTGAATTTGTCCTCAAGAGCTTTGGACTTTACAGTGGAAATTATTTTTAGTGCCGTAATAGCTCCCATCTCCACAGAATGGTTTTGGCGCTCTTCCCTGCTTGGAAGGTTCCATCACGCTCCGTCACTGAAGCCTTGCACGGATTTCCCTTTGGGCGCATCGTACACTGCCAGTAGGTTGCGTAGGGACGCTTGGAGTGGACGTTGTAGGTGAACCCAAGGCTGTCGACGAGACTGGTTTTTCCACGACTCGTGCCGTTCTCGACTAAGGTGAACGTGACTGGCTCCGTAACTATCGGTGGTTCTTCAGGAACTGGTTCCAAGATGGACGGTTCTTCGTCCGTTTCATGCGGCTCTGAAGACCTGTCATCTGTTTTATAGAGTGAAAATATGTCAAATACTCACAAACATAACTAAAATAATTGATTTGTCACTGACCACATAAAACGTAATTTACAACATTATTAGTCAGTAAAAAACAATTATTTCAGTTATGAATGAGTATTCCTGATTTCCATTTTTCCGTTTTCTGACTCACAAACATAAAAAAACGGGTAAAAGAACCTTACTGCATGTTTCTAGACTTTGATCAAAACTGTTTTTTAAATCTATTTGTAATACATTTCACAGAACCAAACTCACCGAAAGTGCCTTCATCAGAGAAAAGTGGCGTTCCGCTCTCTTCTGGTTCAGAAACGGTTGCAGACAGCTAAAGGATAAAACAAGTGCAATTAGTTGAAGTACTCCATTGACTACAGAGATTATAAAAACAACACTTTGCATTTTTCGCAAAACTTAACTACAGTAAAAACCCGCGTATAAGAACCTAGAAAATTAAGAACCTTGGGGTTTATTTAGGAAGGAACGTGGAACTGCTATTCATTTTAAGCTACTTTGCATGTGAAAATGGAAAGCTTTATTGCACTGGCACCGTTATTTTGATGAAAATAGACCATTTCTTTAGGTTTCCGTAGCCCCTTTAATACTTATGCTTATAAGGTACATTCTTATTTATAAAAAAGGGTAACGTAATTTTCTGTCTGAAAATTGAACTTAAGCTTTTAAGAGACTTGAAACAAATTAAATGTAAGTTTAAGTACTTACCATTTCGTGATCATTGCTGAAAGAATCCATGTCCTCTTCCATGTCCTCGACTCGGGTGCTCTCTGCATCAGGCTGATCTGCATAGGACTCGCACACCGCGCACTGCCAGTCGATTTCTTTTCCGTCACGAACAGCGGCCCAGTAAAGCTCTCGCGATATACCTTTTGAATCAAAGTAAAAATCTAATTAGGCCAAGTAAAAAAAAAGAAATGTTTCTCGTCCAGATTTTTACATAAAAAAGAGAGAGCGTAATGGCGGAAGTAAGCTGTTTCTTTCTTGGTCTTTATCAGATGTGATGCTATGAAAAAGCTTATCACATAATGAATCAGTACGATCCACCATTAGTGTTATGCCAAGGATTTCGCATGCATTATCGTAGCTCGTGCCGGTCATAATTACTGAGATCACCCTTTTCTTAATACGAACAAGCTCTTTGATGAAATATTGCGACAAAGCGTTACAAAATAGCTGAACGGTTGATTAGAATTTGATTTGTTGGCGATAGTTTCGCGCGTTTGAGCTGTACTAGGAAATACAATCGCTTACTAGCTTTCTTAACTACTTCTTCAGTGTGTGCATTCCAAGTTAAGTTAGCACCTATAGTAGGTTCCAGCAACTTAGCAGTAATAACTTCTTTTCTGTCGATGACAAACGCATCCAGTTCAACTGGATTCCGGGCAAACGAGATTCGGAGCTCCTTGTATTTATCAGGGTTGAGTTGTACTCTATTTATATGGGACTACTCGATAACCTGGTTAACTATACTCTGCATTACTGGCATTCCCTTTCGGAACGCCTTCGGATGCTGTAGTGTCATCAACAAATTTCCATAAGTATGGTGTGTTTACATCTAAATTATTTATTATCAATGCAAAAAGACTGCACCCGACTCGTAATAACAACCATTTGCTAGCGTGATTCTTTGAGATCGATTAGACCATAAATCAGTGATCCAGTTGACTATACTACGTGGTACTTTTAAATTACGTAATTTGTTAACTAAAATAGAATGGTCTACTAAATTTATGATTCTAGGGGATGTAAAGAACTAAACTAAACAAATAACAACAAAAAGGTTGCCATGAATCCATGATTGAAAGGACACTTCCAGCGTCCGCATGGAAAAACTCTTTCTAAATGAAAACAGTGGAATCACTTAAACTTCGAATGAATTATTAAAGCTTGAATGTCTCAAACTTTTCATAGTGGTGCATTTGATAACTTGAAATTTAGAAGAAAATTGTAAGTATTAATTAAGCGGAGGACGTATTTAGTACCCAGTTTAGCGTAGTTAAAAGGAGGTTGCGCCTTACTGGTAGCTCAGTAAAATAAATGGTATTGTTGTTGGTCATTGCTTTCACGTCAGTTGGTGGCTCCGTTTATTTGTGTTGATCATTTTATTAATGATCACTTCTCTCTCGTTCCATTGAGGTAGGAGCAGGATTTCAGTAAACGTTTGGCTGACATTTGGTTTTCTTCGTACTGATCTCAGTAAGTGAAGATTTTAGACTGAAGATCACGGCACTTAGATTGTTAGTATATAGCAGTACCTCAGAATATAATCGTAACGTTAATGTATGTCTTTTTTGTTTGTAGGTAAACTTGGACATGAAAGAAGTGAGTATTCGCTCTTGTTAATATTACTTATGATCTTGTTAGATTAGACAACCCTGATCGTGTGTATGAATGTCAGCCTAACGATAAAATTTAAATCAGAATCGGATACGATTTTGGTGTGGATGATAAGTTTTAAGTTTCAATTTTTTTCAGTTGCGAAAATATGGTCTGAAATAAAATTCAGGTATGCATATTCAGGTACAGGATTTGAAACCATGACCTCTGCGATATTTAAGAAATACTCATACTAACTGCGAGGATCGCTTCCATATTCGTTTCTTCAACCGCAAATCAGCTATAAAGTTTCCATATATTTACAGTCATTTATTTTAGTTTTGTTCGATTTAAATTGAGAAGAACTGTTTGGGCGCGTGACTACCAGACTTCGCCATGTCCCACATTTAACCTGGCTTTTTCGAGTATTGTATTAAAACTATTTTAGTTAAAAAAAAAAAAATTTTATTTATAAGAACGGGTTACATTATCTTTAATCCAATTCCAGAAAAATATATACAGTTATGCCAGGTTTAACTAAAAAAGAATCAGAAACAGAGCAAGTATAACATAATTCTACTAAACTTTTAGGTAATCACAATAGAACCTTTTAATTTGTTCTATGTTGAAGTTGACAAATTTTAGTTTGAGTTGATTCGTAATTAGCAAAACAGCTTTAAAAAATAATCAGTTGTGGTGTGAATAGTATTTTAATCAGATCCTGCATTACGGGATGCGCGCGCAAGGTTGAGCGCGTGCTCACATTAACGCGCGCATCCCACGTATATAACATCACAATTGTTTCTCTACATACGTAGACAGGTTCAGTTGAGAACACTTCGCAAACCACACGTCTAGGAGCCTTGGGAGATTTTATTCACAAAGTTACGAATTCAAAATGGGTATCTTAAGACTTTTCAGAGGTTTAAACTGCTTTGGTTCTGGACAAAGAAATTATAAGTCGAAGTAAGAATTATTTCGTTCACTTACTGAGTGCGTTTGTCTTTGTTGCTAACTGAAATGTTTTAACTTGCGGTCGATTCTCCGTTTTCTCCTACAGAAGACAAATGGAAAGAGAACTTGCAAGCATGCAAGAATTAATCAGAATACTTGAACAAGATGTCCACATCACAAGGTAATGAAGACAGTAAAAAGTTTATATTATGTGAGGATCTTGCAGTAGCGTGACAGATTTCTGCAATCGCATCTTTAAAAAATAAATGCTCGACATCAGGAGTGATGAATTCTCGAAATTTCGCTGTGCGATTAAATTCTATGGACAAGTCAAGGTTGTTGACCTCATTGGTGATACTAATTGTTGGATTGTTTCTAACAGGGATACTGTTGAGTTGTTCAGGCAGCGACAAAAAGCTGTGGAAGAAAAAGAAAACAGGAGCAGAGACATCAGACACAATCTGATGACTCAAGTAGAGGAGATTGAGAGTGAACTGGGACGAGCTTTAGAGGAGCGCAAGGAGCTGATGTCATATATCATGTGAGTAGATCATAAGTTGACTAAATAATGAAAAATAAATGGATGGAACGATATGGTGAGATGGGATGGGAAGAGATAAATCAGTCAGGTCATGTTTCCATTAATGGTCAGGGTTAGAAACTCGTAAGTCAAACTGACAACAACCGCTGATTTCTTACTTTTTCTCTCCACAGTGAATGCGGAATTCGAAAAACAGCCTTGGAAAAAGATGTTCAAGCGATAGAAAAGAAGGCGGAATTTTTCTGGGAAGACCTGTATGATCCATCTCCAGATCCCAAAACACGCGCTAAAACATGGCAGGAGAATCTGCGTCCTGCGCGTTCAACGAGTGACCTGAACAAGGCGGTGCTTAAGCCACCCCTGTGTTTTGCACAGGATGCAGATGATCTTCAAGTGTGGGATGTACCTTATGATGCGAGTGACGAGCAACTCTTTGCAGAAAGACTCAGAAATGAAGTTTTAATCACAAAAAGCAAAGAAACCTTCGTTTAAAAGGGAACATTGTGGAAAATGAATGTTTAATTTGTAACATTGATATTCATCTGGTTGGTTATAATGCTCGCTTATGCGCATCAAGTCTTCTCAAACATTTGGGATTACTAATAAAAATATTTTTAGCCAACCACAAGCATGTTTGTATCTTTTGTTTCTCAATACTGTTCCTTATACCTTTTTAAGCGTTTTAGGGCTTTAGATGGGATGGAATCGTTCCACTCTCCCAAGTCTTTTTCCCTGTCAAAGTGTTGATAGAGAATTCAAAGGCGTAGACTTCACTAAAAACATTTTTCTCCAGAAAGAATTTTCTCTATTTAATTACTTTCTACATTCTGTCTTTATTCGTTGATCAACTGTGTAATAAGCTGGTACGATCGTGTTACTTGATAATATGTATGTGCGCCAAGATGGCTGCCGCTTACTGTCGTCGTTGTTGTTTTTTTAAGCTTTTGTGCTTTGTTACCTTGTTCGTTCAGTATCTTGACAAGCACAATTCAATCTGTTCGCCTCCATCTACCTTTAAAGGCCCTTTTAGCGTCAGTCGAAAGCTATTTTCTGCTTCTCGCTGCGGTCAAGACCTTGCTGTTGCAAGACGCTCAACTAAGTTACCGATCACCAAATGGTCAAAGCATGGTTCGACGGTTGCTGCTCTGTCTGAAAGAGGTTTCATCAAGGACCTATCTATTGCAGTGGATGTTGAAATTAACCCGGGTCCGGAAAATTTTAACTACATGCCGACTGCTTCACTTCAAACTTCAAGACCTAGATTTTCTTTCAGTCGACGTAATTTATTTCAACTTCGCTCCTGTTGTCCTAAGGTTAAACTGGATTATTATCTTATTCATCGCTTAAAGTCATTGGGAATTTATAGAGCTAGAAGTCGTAGAGCTGGTGTTAATTCTAGATTTGGATCTCGTCAACAACATCACAAGATTCCAGTTCGTGTCACTGACCACTGTTTTTTATCAACGACCAAACGCGCACGACTTCGACCCAAGGATACAAATTTGCATTTCATTTCTACTCACTCTTCTTCTTTACCCCGAATAATCCCCAAATGTATGGTCATTAATGCAAGATTACTTGTGAAAGTTGATGCTGCTTCTGCTTTGCATATGGAATTGCACTCAAACAACTGCGATATTTGCATCATCTCCGAGACATGGCTTAAACCAAATTTTCCATCTCATCTCGTTTGTCCGAAGGATTACTCAATTTTGCGAAAGGATAGAACTGACCGGTCAGGCGGTGGTGTTGCTATTGTCTGTAGGAGCGATTGGTTGTTGGAACGATTAGACAGCGTTTTTTTATAATGCCTTTGAATGTTTGTGGGCTAAAATTACAACTCCCAACTCAAGCTTTTATGTGGCTGCTGTTTATCATCCTCCAGATCCGCCATATTGTCCTGATGATTTATTGGAACATCTAACAAATAGTTGTGATCATTTATTGACTGGTAATCCTAACAGCAACCTTATAATTTGTGGTGACCTCAATCAGCTAGATTACAATGATTTTCTTACACAACTAAATTTATTCCAGATGGTAAATACACCGACAAGAAAGAACAAAATTTTGGATGTTTTGATTACTAACGTCCCACATTTTTGGAGGAAAGTATCGGTCACTCAAGGACTAGTTCGATCTGACCACTCTGTGGTCCTGGTATATCCCAGAATCCCACTTAAGGCTGAAAGGAAAACTGTGATGTTCAGAGATGTTCGTGATCATCATAAACTGGATATGGATAAACTGTTGAAGTTTCATAACTGGGACAATGTTTATCAATGCGGAGATGTGAATGGAAAACTTAATCTTTTTTGTACCAAGATTAAGACCATGTTTGATGAGTGTTTTCCGGGTATATCAGTACGTGTGTCTAATAGGGACCCCCGTTCTTTTCTCCTCTAATCAAACATCTACTGGACCAACGGCGAAAATTGATTCGGCGAAGTAACATGTCAGGAAATTCTGTTTCGATTGAGATCCAAACTCTTCAAGAGAAAATCAACAAGTTGATCAGAGATAATCAAGTTCGAGCAGTTAAAGGGAATTTTGAGAAACATAGTGCAGGATCCAAATCTTGGTGGTCAACAGTCAATTCCCTGACAGGAAGGAAGTCTACCAACTCGCAAGTAAGCTCAATTATCTCCCCGAGCGAGATCAATAATTTTTTCTGTTCCATTAACACTGATCCCCTTTATAAACCCATTGACACTGTCACTATCCCGGAATCAAGCGAGATGCCTGTTTTAACGGTCTCCAGTGTTACCAGGAGTCTACTGAAATTAAAAAGAACTGCCTCTGGTCCAGATGGAATCCCGTACTGGTTTTGGAAAGAGTTTGCGTACGACCTCGCTCCTGTTGTTACCCATATTTTCAACTGTTCTTTGGAAAATCACATTGTGCCTGATCTTTGGAAATTGGCCGACATAACTCCCTTGCCTAAAGAGCCCAACTTTAAAAATTGCACACAGTTGCGGCCTATTTCGCTGACTAATGTAATAATGAGGGTTTTTGAACGTCTTGTATACAGACAAGAATTATCTCAATATATGAAGAACTTCATTAGCTTCGACCAGTTTGCATACCGCAAAGGCCACAATACGACAATGGCCTTAATTAAGTGTCAATATGCTTGGCTGAAATGGCTTGAGTCGGGTTTTGATTGTGTTAGAATCTTCTCTTTTGATTTCAGCAAAGCTTTTGATTCGGTCCCTCATGATATCCTCTGCTCTAAGTTGAAAACACTTGATATAAATCCATACGTGACCAATTGGATTATTAGTTTTTTACAGAACAGGAAACAAAGAGTTGTTGTTGATGCCATTGTCACGGACTATGTAAATATCAATAGAGGTGTCCCTCAGGGGACAGTTTTAGGCCCTATACTATTTTCTATTATGGTCAATGATATTAAGGCCATTCTACCAAATCAGAATTTACTTGTGAAATATGCTGATGATTTAACATTAAGTATTCCAGTAAAATCGCTGGCTAATAACGGCAATTTAGCAGCTGAGGAGGTCCGATCGATCGTCGCATGGACATCTGCTAATCGTATGCAACTAAACTTCAAGAAAACGTGGGAGATGCTTCTTAGAGGCAAATCCACTAAGGCCTTACCTGCTCCTCTGGTTTCTATAGAGCGTAAACCATGTCTGAAGTTGTTGGGTGTAACTTTTCAATCTGATCCGTGTAACTGGGACTTACATTTTGATAATATTATATCGAAAGCCAGTAGTCGTCTGTACATCTTACGTGTTTGTAAATTCTATGGACTGCCGCTGGATCATCTTCATCTTCTCTTTATCAGTCTTATTCTACCTATATTTACATATGCTGTAGAAGTATGGGGCTGCGCGTATTATCATAAGTATCTGAGTCGCATAGACAGGCTGTTCAAGAGAGCTTTTAAGCTTGGCTACTGTAAAGAGCTTTTTTCGATTGAAATATTATTATTCTAAAAGATAAGAAGTTGTGGGCCAAGATCACCGACAGCGATTTTCCAACAGCTTTAGATGACCTTTTGCCACCAGAGCGAACAATGGATACGCTACGTAAGAGGCGCCATAATTATATTCTCCCGCTTGTCAGAACTGAACGTTTCAAAAGGACCTTTATTAATAGATGTTTGTTCTCTTATTAGTTATTCAGTTAGTAATTTAGTTAGTTTATTAGTTTTATACTTGCTGATTTCATATCATTGTATCTAAACACGTTTGTTGTTTAGAGTGCTTAATAAAGACTTATTATTATTACTTGATTAAAGCACTATTATACACCGGGGAGAGAATGAGTGTAGCAGCCGACGTCTGAGTTGTCCTTTAATAACTAAATATCTTAGTATCAACCGAGCTTGATAAAGCAAATATGTTGGCTCCCCCACGTGGGTTTCAGTCTGCTAATGAAATAAGCTCGGTATGATACGACCGAGAAAAACTGAGACTAGAAATCTTATACTGACGTATAGCATCAAAGACGGAGTCCCTGAGAAAGTCATATCCATAAAGGGGATAAGGCCTATAAAGAACTGATAACCCCAGCAGAGAATTTCCTTGCTTATTCTTCGGAAATAGGTAGGTCTTTCTTCCTCTTCTAAAGCCTTCATTGTCGCCAATTCTTCCTTGAGCAACTTCTTTTGATAAGGGTATCTGTATTGCTTCCTGAAGGTTGGGTAGTAGCTGTGATTGCGTTCACTCAGCCGTGTACCTACATGGAATAACCAAGAAATAATGCATTATTCCTAGTTTACAGACAAATGCTTTCAATACTCTGTGTAATTGAGAGAATACATTATGTAGTAAACACGTGTAGACTGAAAAGAATGGGTATCAGAACTTGCACTGTTTTTAACTTCCACCACCTACCCACATATATGACACCTTCGACATCCTTTTCTGGCTCCAGTACCTTTCGTCTTACACACCTCACACTATGCAGGATGGTCTCCTGTCCAAAACAGTATGATATGCCGAATTGAGATATTGGTAGGTGGAAAATTTGGAAATGATCCTGCATAGCTCACTTAATATCCTAAAAACAAAACAAATGAATAAGTGTTAAGTTTAGACTGGATTTACTTTAAGAAGGATACATGTTGGAATGGTCAGCGGCGAAATGGCGGTCAGTCGTAATTTTCTCGGCTCCGCCATAGTCACTTATCTATATCTGTTCTGTTGTTTAAGTCGCTCTTTAATTTATCTAAATACGCTCATTTTCTGTCCATCTTATGCCCTTGATGATTCTGGAGTTACAAAGACCACTAATGAAGTGGATTTATACCGTGCAAGTTGCTCGTCGTCGATGCGTTTGTTCCGCCATCTTGGATTTTCATCTTCAACAAGATCGCATCGCTACTTCACTGCTCGGATATCTCATACTCCGAACTCCGTTTCCTCCTTTAACCTAACGCGTCTTCGCTTAACAACGAGTGGCGACATCAGCCCGAACCCTGGTCCACTAATTACGTCTTTTACAACAAATCGTCGAGCAGT